AGCAGCAGCAGCAGCAGCAGCAGCAGCAGCAGCAGCAGCAGCAGCAGCAGCAGCAGCAGGGGATTGATAAGGAGAAGGGAAGCCCTGGGAAGTTCAGCAGGCAGGCTGGGACATAAGCCAGGTGGAAGAGGGGGGAGATACAGTAGCCTTCTTTTACTCAGTCCATAAGACCCTTTCAAATTTTGTCTTGGCAGAAGCAACAAAAACAACAAAAATCTTCAAGGTTTTGCTTTGGCTGAACTGCAAAAGTCCAGCTGAACTACCAACATATAATGCTCCTGTTTCATATATGAAACCAAGTGCATTTTATGGTTTATGCACACCTTTCTTTTCTTTGATGTCAATAAAAGTAAGCTGAGTCACAATATTTATGCATATAGTTTCATTGATGAAGTCCGAATTGTATGAAGGAAGTCATAGTAAATTAGCTGGAATTTATTCACAAGTAAGTGAGCATCCTTAAGCACCACTTTTTTTCCTCTGTACATTACATTTTACTGTACACACATACATTTATTCTGTTTTAAAAACTTTCCTCTCTTGCAGTACTTGGAGCTTCGGTATAATAAGTATATGCGTATTCTTGGAACAACGATGTTTATAACAGTAACGGCAAGTAGAAGCACAAAATGTTACAGTATTATCTTTAAACTTGAATGTATTATGAACAGTAGATTTTAAAGTTGTGTTACTTATTTGCAGATAATATATAGATGGTGTTATATAAATTGTGTGCTCTTGGTTTAGAATTAAATTGGCTTTTAATGAGTTAATTTATAAAGGGTCATGTTTATAAGGAAAGGCAGATTCCATGGTAATAATTTTTCAATATCCTACTTGTTCTTATGTCACCATATAAGTTGGTTTCTTCTTTTTTTTACTCAATCTGAAAAGCTTAGACCACCCTATTAGAACTCTTTGGGTACAGAGGATTTAGTATAAGAAGTCAGGTATAAAAACAATAGTTGCCTAAGGAAAAATACAAAGCTGTGGTAGGGTCTTACAGTCTGGGTTTTCTTCTTACCTTGCACTAAAATTGTGCTGGTCAAAATTAACTTTTAGTACAGTAAATTTACCTAATAGTAGTCCTTGTTTCATATTATATTCAGTATAAGCTAACATAAAACAAATATTTCTGAGAATACCCATTTACTTATGCTTCTTTGTTTTATTTCTGCAGATGTTATACACTGGAATTGTTATATATTCTCCATCATTGGCTTTGAATAAAGGTAATGTGAACATTTATACTAGGAGATGAAGTTAATGAATATTGGGTGAAGTTTGCAATCTGTGTGTGCACTACAGTTGTGATTATGGGTTTTCATATGTGCTTCTGGTTATCTTTCCTTCAGTTAATTTAAGTATATTCTATACTATCCTAGAAATATTTCAAAAACTATATATGTCTTTTTCTTTTCTCAGTTACAGGATTTCGGTTGTGGGGATCAGTAATAGCAACAGGATTAGTCTGCACCTTCTACTGCACAGTAGTATGTTAACAAATCTCTATAATACACATTCTATAAATTATCAATAAAGCAATCCAAGTTAGATTTAATACATTACATGTTTTCCGTATTCTCTCACTTGGTAATTTCAAATAGGCAAGCAGATAGAATTTCGTGTTTACAGTCTTAAACTAGGGAAAACCCATCTTTCTTAGGTGCTTTAGAGTTAAGTTGAAAAGCTTCTATTTAAAAGGCTTGCCTTCTCATCATGTAAAAATTTCTGTATTATAAAAAAACCAATCCATAAAAATATTTTTTCTGTACTAATATTGTGATATAACATTACAATTAAAGAAGAAAAAAGGCCCCTCAAAGAATATCACAAACACAGCAACTCCTAACTGCTGTGTTTATGATATTGTGTTTTCAGAAAAGAATCTGACATATTATTTAGAATATGAATATTTATTCAGTTGAAACAGACCTAAATACTAGAATATAAATGAAAGCCTGACTCTTTTTAATTTTCTTTTCTAAAGACAAATGGATATACATATGATCTGATATGATTAATGGACAGTTTGTGCAAAAGTAGAAAAGTTTGTCATTGAAGCACTTCCTTGCCAGATTCAATATGCATATTGACATAGGCAGAACAGATCTTTTACTATACTTTATACCTGCTGTTTCCAAATAGGGTGGCCTAAGGGCAGTAGTCTGGGCAGATGTTTTCCAATATATACTGATGGTAACTGGGTTTGTAGCAGTGCTTGCAAAGGCTGTGATCATTAAAGGAGGATTTGGTCCTATTCTATATGATGCTTACCAGGGAGGAAGACTAAAAACTTGGGAGTAAGTATTCTTTTGCTTGAGAAGTAATATAAATGCAACTGATACTAAAAGTTTTTTTTTAAGTTTATGAATTTATATTTGAACAAGTGGACAACTAATATGAACCTAATGGTTTTAAAATAGTAAATTAACAATCTATTTACTAATAAACATTTTATATCTATATAGCCGACTATGACAGTTTAGAATATAGCCGACTATGAAAGCTTAGAAAGGTTGACCAGGAGATAGGAATTTCTATTAGATTGTATGAACCATAGCAACAACATTCTCTTGGCAACTAATTGTACAAAAATTTGGGTTCATTTTTAAAGAATAGTTTTTATATTATATCTATTATATCTATATTATATCTAGATAGAAATATTCTCTCTTCTGAAGCTTAGGAGCTTACTGTCATCCCTTTAAAGTGACAGTTGAATGCTTGTCTCTTCACCCAAAGCTTTTATATATTAATGTCAGATTAATATTAGAGAGTGGTCTTTCTTCTTAGTGGTAATCTTTTGTATTAGAAGAAATAGAAGATACTCTTGAATAACAATGTAACCCAGGAAGAAGAGCTTCTATCTTGTTCAGACTCTCTGTATAGTAGTAATAAAAAATAAATTATTTTGGGTTTCTTGAAAAGGAGGCTTAATTATCAAGGTTTAAGCATTATTTTTCTCCTAGTAAGTTTAGAAAGGTTGACCAGGAGATAGGAATTTCTATAAGATTATATGAACCATAGCAACAACATTCTCTTGGCAACTAATTGTACAAAAATCCTAAATCCTTGCCACCACCCTTTCATGATGAGATGCGACTGACTCAGATGACTTACACAGTATGTTAACATAAGAAGTACAGGTAGTCCCCAGTTTAAGAACAAGTTCTATTCCGAAGGTCTGTCCTTAAGTTGAATTTGTACATAAGCCAAAACACTGTTACTGCATAATACTGTATAAGTAGTATTGTGTAATGAACTCAAACCATTGTGTTATTTAACTCAAATCATTGTGTATTTAATTCAAATTTTGCTATAATAGGCTCCATTCTTAACTATGGGTTATCTGTAACCCAGGCGTTCTTAACCCGGGGACTACCTGTATGTCACATGGAATGCCACAGTCACCACTTCCAAGGATTTGTAGGTAGTTCCTCAGAGAAAACTTTCTTTCCCAATATTTTTCAGATCTGCATTACATGTCTTGCTTATGTGCTAAGATTAGAAATTAGCCTTCTCTGTGGCCCTGTCTGCAAAGCCATAAGAAATATTTTTTTGCCAATGCATTGTCCTTTACCTTTCTCTGAGCCAACTAACATTTTCTCCAACTTGCGAATGGGAAAGCAAACAATGGTACCTAGTTGGTGTTCCACCCCTTTCTTTATGGGGTGGAGCATTTTATATTACTGTAACATGTTATAGGCAAAATAGGAACTCCTTCTAGATGATGGCATTGGTTTGACAACATGAGAAGTGTCACCTGTAAGAGTGACATTTAATTATTTATAGTTTCTATATTTCTACTGGAAAAAACATGAATTTTTGTTAAGTCTGTTTTTTTCTCCACTGAACTCTTGAGTTCTTTCAGTGACAATATTTAAATTGTTTTCTTGTATCTTCTACTTAGCTTTAACCCAAGTCCTTTGCAAAGGCATACTGTGTGGACCATTGTTATTGGTGGCACTTTTACTTGGCTTGGCATGTATGCAACAAATCAAAGTCAAGTTCAACGATATTTTGCTTGCAGATCACAGTGGGATGCCAAATGGTAAGTCTGCATGTTGTAATGTGAGGGTTCTTTGTTTTCCAAGGACTGGACACCCCACAGCATAGTAAATCTGTACAAAATGCTTTACTACAGCAAATACCTTCCCCAACAACAGACTATTGCTCTCCACCTATCTAGGACTTGCAAGGTGATGTTGTCATGTAAATATGTCTTTAATACTCAGCCCTTTTATACTTAGTTCAAGCTAAAGTCTATAAAGTCTATATAAATATATAAAATCTATAAAGTGGCATACAACCTTTGCCTTTTTCCAAACATTCTTACACTAGTTGAGATGAGGTGCTGCTTCTAGTTGCTACTGAGCTCCCAGCAAAGCTCCAGGCAGGAGTCCCACCAGGATATGCTGCTCACCATAACTTGTGGTCCTGGCAGTTGAATGATAGTCCTCTTGCCTGCTTGTAATAGCTGCCAATCTTCAGAAGTCGCCTCCGCTTCCCCATCTGTATGCCGTTGCTTATCACCTTTCCGCCTATACACACACCTTTTCACTTTGTCTTGGCATTTGGTTTTGTAAGCTAAGAGCCTGGGTGGAGGTGAGGCTGCCTCTGGATGTCAGTACATCCTTGAAAATGTCAGGGTGTGGCTCAATTATCACAGGCAGCTGGAATGTTGGCTTGGATGCTTGCGAGTAAAGTTTGAGTTAGGGAAATGAGGCAAGAAGTGTTTCTGCTTGGCTGCAGCTACTTTTCCAAAGCACAGAGAGCAACCTCAACTTCACTCCTTCACATGGAAATGCATTGTTCCAATCCAAAAGTCCTTGTAGTAGTAGGATATATATATATAAGCATTAGTGGTTCTCTTCTGCAGTGCTACAACTTGCTAAACAAAAAATAGGATTTTCATGTCTGTTTCCACAGATGGAATATCCTTGCTGAATTCTTTAGTATTTGGCTTAATTTGTTATTTCTGAAGAACCTGACCTTATATAGTTGTTAAAAGTAGTAATGAAGAATGGCGGTATGCTACTTTTTAATACTGGCATGATCAATTGATGCAAGCTAATTTTAATACTAGGGAATTCCGAGGGTGAATTTTCCTATTTAGTTGAAAGCTTAGTTAAAGGAAACAACATGAACTTTAAATCAGGATCTGCATTTACCAAATCATATTTTCAGATCTTGTTTGAATGAGATAGTTTCCTCCTTTCATGTTATGCGTGTGGGTTGGTTTTTTAAGAAAGATGAAATCTCTCTCTCTGTGTATATATCATGTTTTTATTTTGATTTATGTTCAGTGTGTTAAGTTTGGCTATGTTGCTTAATTGTTGCTATGTTTGTATGCCACCCAGGGTCACATTATGTGAGATGGGTGGCTATATAAATTTGCTAAATAAATAAATAAAAAAAGAGAGAATGCCTGTGTATGTGTGTGTATGAATGTGCACATACACACATGCACACACACAGAGCCAATGCGGTATAGTGCTTGATGTGTTAGACTAGAAGAGAGAGAGAGAGAGAGAGAGACCTATATTCTAGTCCATGTTCTAGACCCTTAGCCATAGAAGTTCACTAGGTGACTTCAGGCTAGTCACTCTTTCAGTCCAATGTATGTCACAGGGTTTGAGGTGGGGTGAGGAATAAGAGGAAATGGTGCTATTTTTTCTGCCTCAAACTCCCAAATGAAAGGTGGATACAAATCTAGTAAATCTCATAAAGAAAACAAAAGTACAAAGCTAAATGGTCTTCTATTAACTATATTTGCCATTTCAATCCATTTTTCATTGAACTTTTGGTCATCCTTTCTTGCATTAGGACTAGCATAATGTTTTAAAACTATAAAAGGAAAGCACTAATACTTCATATTTTGCTTAAGATAAAAAGATTACTGCATAAAAATGTAGCATGAGAGTATGGTAATACTTCTCTATTGTAATATAATTTTAGACAGAAAAGAGCTTTCTAATCTTCCAAACTTATAAAATTTTGTTACAGTGCTCTGTATCTAAATCTTGTGGGACTCTGGATAGTTCTGATTTTTGCATCACTGAATGGACTATCAATGTACTCAATATACAAGGATTGTGATCCATTGACAGCCGGAGTTGTATCAGCACCGGATCAGGTTTAGTATTCATTACAAGTGAAATATTTGTCATTTGGATTTGTTCTATCTTTTCTTGCATCTTCCTTGTAAATAAGTTAAGGTTAGGTTATTTATCTATCTAAATCCATGAAAGAAGAGAATGCTGTATTTCTGGAGTGGGTAGAAATTTAAAATATATGTATTTTGTGGAAAGAAAGAAAGAAGAAATTTCTGAAGTGTTTTCAGATGTATCTGATGCAATATAACAACCACTGTTAACATGAACTATAGCTTCTCTCTGTTTGGTAGCTAAAACAAATTAAAGTTGTTTAAGAATCTGTTGCAGCATCTTATGAATACCTATGTATCTTCCTTTTCGGAACTAGGCTTCAAATTAACATTGACTTACCTTTGGTCTGAAATTTGAGAATACTCTTTTATACATGAATTTTGCTTTTTGAATAGCAAGGTAGGATGTTTTAGATAAGTTACATCAAGGATCTTCTAACTATCATTCATACCTCAAAGAGTTTATAGATTTTTTTTTAAGCTGGGCTGTCTTTGAAGACCATTCAGAATTTTCAGCTTTCACAAATGGCTTGATGTATTTTCTATTAGCAGCTGCGTTAGGGAATATATAGTATCTGTCCTAGTTCAGCTCACTGTCTAGCTATTAATTTCCAAGGACAATTTTAAATGTTTATGGTCCCAATTTATCTTAGAAATACTTTAGTCTAAGGAATACAGTCTTTCCTGGTCTTATACTGGAGGCCAGAAGAGATTCAGGAGCAGCATCTATTTTTTTTCCTTTCTTCCTTCCATTTGTTTTCTTTTTAAATGTTTGCCTACCATTGATGTCAATGGAAGGAAAATGAACTCTGTCAGTTCCAGGGCTGATGTAGGTCACACCCAATTCTGGGAATATGGAAATGTATGAATATAAATCCATATCTTCTGACATACTAATGGAACAACCCTTAGTCCATCTGTTTTTTAATAGTATTAACATTGTATTAATGTCTGTTAATGTCTAGGCTGTTGAAGTTTTACTTTGGCCTAGGCATGGCCATCCAATGTTGGATTTATCTTTCTGAGATCAATCCTTTTATCAAACCTCTATCTACCATTGGAGAGAAAGATGCATAAATAATTCTAAAGCTGCTGGGAGACCCTCCCATGGACCATATAGTTATAGTTTTAAACATTTACTATCAATTCTCCATTTTGTGAGAGAATTCAGAGAAGGATGTTATGGAATATATTTCAAATCCTGCAATTATCTCAGAATTTATTCTACTAGATTCATCTCATTGCACTTTTTGGAGGCTGTTACTCTTTCTCTGAATCCTTCTTAAAGTGTGGTGCTCAGAATTGGACACTAAAAGTGAATCTGATGAAAACTAAATACTGCTCTTTCCCATGACTTGGAAATTGTACTTTGTCTAATGAAGCCTAAGATTGCCTTTGCCTTTTTTCATAGCTAAATCATACTGCTGATGTGTATTCAGTTTACAATCAACTACATTCCAGGATCCTTTTCACAAGTTCTTTTACTGAGGCAGCTAACCTCCATCCTTTACTTGAACATTTCATGTTTGTTTGTTTCCCTAAGTGAAGAACTTTGCATTTATCTCTATTAAATTTCAGTGTTCTTCCTTTCAAACCTTTTTATCTAACCCATGAAGAACATTTTGAGTTTTATTTCTGTCTTCTACAAAATTTCACCCAATTTTGCATTCAAATTTGATAAGTGTTCCCCTCCATGCCTCCATCTAAGTCATGATGAAAATGATTCCTTAACAACTTTGGGTGGTTTATAAATTAAAAAAAAATCCATATAATTATTTCATTGTTTTTAATGTTTACAGATCATTCTCTTTATGAGATGCTGAAGAATCTTCCAGGAATTGATGTCAGACTGGTCTTTACTTCCCCAGATCTCCATTTTTCTCTTTTTGAAGATTAGAATATTTCCTCTCCTCCAGTTTTGCACTTTATTAGTTGTCCAGAATTCATCAAAGATTATATATAAAGGTTACCCAAGCCAAAATGTAGTTCCTTCATTATAGTGGGGTGCAATTCATCTGGCCCTACCTATTTAGTAAATAAAACGGAATGTAAATAAAAACATTGACAGAGACTACCTCTAAATCTCAAGCTTCAGTTGTTCTTTTTCATCCTGTTTTTTTAAATAATTTCTTGGATGAACATAAAACATTTTTATTGGAAAAGGTGGAATCAAACTAGGAGCCAACTGTTAGCATTTGTCATCTTCAGTGAGCAGCTGGTATACTGATTATTTTACTTATTTTTTAGATTGAAATTCCACTTCTTGTTCAGGAGCTTAAGGGAATCTACATAGTGCCTATCCTCTTTTTTTCCCCTCTCCCAAGAAAGCTTCTGAGCTATTTTAGACAGAGAATGACTGTCCCAAAGTGCCCATGTGAGCTTTTGTGGCTCAGGGTGGACTAGAACCTGAGTCTTCCCATTCCTAGTTCAACACTTTAACCACACCACCATATTGTCTCTCATTATTTTCCTTTTATTTTATTTTGAACATACTTAATTCCCTTTTTGCTGTTTTTAGCAACTTATTTCAACTTTAGCTCATTCTGAGCTTTATCTTTCTTTTTTCCCCAAGTTAATTGTTTTATTGTATTATAAATGGTGTATAATACATTATTGAATACAGATAATAGCTGAGTACAATGATATTTGTACAATAGAAACTAGGAATTGGTAATACTGTGATGATTTAGTCCTGTGAAGATGTGTGGATTGTGAAGGTGTGATTTAGTCCTGTGAAGATGTGTAAAGATGTGTGGACTTCAACTCCCAGAATTCCCTAGCCAGCATGCTCGCTGAGGAATTCTGGGAATTGAAGTCCACACATCTTCAAGCTGCCAAGGTTGAGAAACACTGATTTAGATGACTCGAACCTTTAAAGGTCAGGAAAAAGTTTATATCAATGTTAAATATGATTTCTAAAATGTTAATGAAGGTTGCTTAAATTGTACAATTAATGCTAAGTATGACACTGATAAACAGTTGCAAAATGCAATGAATTATTTTATAATATGAGAAAGGTTTCAATCTTTGAGCTTTATTTTATTGTTTTACTTTATTTTTGTGCCTTCGAGTCCATGCAGTTTTCATGGCAAGATTTTCAGAAGTGGTTTGCCACTGCCTGCTTCCTAGGACTAAGAGAGAATGATTGGCCTAAGGTCAACCAGTTGGCTTTGTGCCTAAGGTAGGACTAGAACTCATAGTCTATTGGTTTCTAGCCTGGTGCCTTAACCACTACACCAAACTGGATCTTTTTTTTAAAATAATAATTTTATTAAAGTTTACAAATACAAATCTTATACAAAGATAAAAGACTAATACAAACTCAGAAAAATATAAAACGTGAAGAAAAGAGAAAGAAAAGTACAAAGAGAGAGAGAAAAAGGAAAAAAATAAGAAAAATATATAAAATAATGACTCACCCCTCCCACCAGACAAATGTAAACAACTTCAGCAACTTAACACTTCCTCTAGTGTTTCAATAAAAAAAAAATCTCTTCTTCCCGTATTTCATCTCTTATCAATAAACGAATTGTAAAAACTCATCATTCGGTCCTATTCAGCAAAAGTCCATTAAGAGCTACCAGAAACAATAACATACATATTTTAACCTTAATCAAAAAATCCACTTTGTATTCTAGCTTATCACTTTCTTTGAGAAATAAAGCAAAAGAAATCTCTCCCTATTTATAAACAAAACTTTAAAGCCTCATTCAGTCCTGGTCAAAAAGAAATTCCATTAATAGCTACCAGAAACCCCAACATCTATATTTTAACCCTGGTCAAATAAATTGACTTTGTACTCCTTCCATTTACTTTTAAAAAGCTTGATCTGTAATCCTTTCAAATAATATCCCACAAGTTGATTTCTTATCATTTTCTCTTTGTTTCCTCTCAGGAACAGCTTCAGTAGTTTAAAACATTCCTTTTGTATATTGAAGATAAGAAGGTTATCCAAGTCACTCTTTTGATTTATTTATTTGTATGTCCCCTTTAGTTATTAAAATATCAGCCAGTTTCATTTGTAAATCACTGTGGCATCTTTTTCCATCTTGCTCTTATAGTCTGTAAAATTTTAATCCATTTTCAAATCCAGTTCACCTTTTTTTCAAATCATTCTTGTAGTCTGGCATTTTTTCAAAATCCATTTTCAAATCCACACAAGTCAGCCTCAGTCTCTATTTTGTCCAGTAAAGTCTGTTCCTCTTCTATAGCCTCTGTTAGATCCATTTTTATAGTGGCAGACAGTCTTGAAAGTAATTTCTGAGTATATTGTTTCCAGCAGCCTTAATTTCTTCTACAGTTAGATAATATTGCTCCATTATATTAATAGGTCTCTTCTTTAATTGTAATCCTTAGTTCTCTCTGGTTCCCTCTAATCAACCTTCAAAGTTCCCTCTTACCGTATGCTTATTTTCTAATCAGCAAAACTTTCCCACAGGAGGATTTCTTACAGTTAATTTCAAAATCTTCATTTATACTTTTATAAAATTTTAAGCAACCCACAGGAAATATTCTTTCAAGTCTGTCTGGCTACTTAACTTTCCAAAATCAACATTCTAGTCCTTTTTTCTGTTTTCCAAAAATTAATTTTTTTCTTTTTAGTCCTTAAACTTACATGAAACTTCTTTCATTCAGGATAGAAGAAAGCTCTCCCGGCATAATGAAACTTGCCCTTCAAAAGGTTCTTAACATCCAGAAGATCAATAACAAGCAATTTCTTAAGGTAATTAAGAGAGGAAATGGGCAAACCCAGTATCCTTTTGAAGGCGCCAAACTGTGGTTTAGGCAAGATGATTTTCCCCTGGCTCCCAGAGCTCTCAAACCCCCCAGAGATCACTATTCTATGATCTCTTCGCGGGGAGCCTCTGTATGGAGCAAACTTATGGGTGATCCTAGTCCTCTTCTTAATCCGGAGAGGGGTTCCAAGGAGCCAGTCCATTCACCAGCTCCTCTTTCTGCTGCGCCTTTGC